TCCACTCCACTCTCCATTCTTTACATCAGACTCATAATTCCCAAAGCTCCTTATACAACATTAGAACATTCAGTGGCTCTTTAAGACTTTTTTTTCAAAGTTGCTACTTCTGGCATGCAAAATACATTTAGGGCAATGGCATCTACAAAAACTTGCCATATGGTCTGCCCCTTTGGAGTGCCATGACATGGCAACCCATATAATAAAGGATGGGGCATGCATCATGCTGACATCGTCCCCCCCACCCCCCTTGTCCTTCCATGGACACTGATGATTCCAGGAGTGAGAACTGCATAGATACAGGAGAGAAAGTAAGAGAGAGAGACTACTGTTATCAGCAAGAGTGAACTCTCTTCCATTACTGTCTCTGTCCGAGTGAAGCTACAGTTTGAGCAGCATTGTGGCAGAGAAACTATTACTACCCCCAAGAGCTACCATTTCCATTTGTTCCGCTCCATTGATTCACCCTGTTCTGTGCAGTATCCTTAAAAGGAAGCTCTATGGAAAGTCTTATTCCAGTACACTTCTGGCATTTGAGTCCATTCCATTCCATTCCATTCCATTCCATTCCATTCCATTCCATTCCATTCCATTCCATTCCATTCCATTCCATTCCATTCCATTCCATTCCATTCCATTCCATTCCATTCCATTCCATTCCATTCCATTCCATTCCATTCCATTCCATTCCATTCTTTACATCAGACTCATAATTCCCAAAGCTCCTTATACCACATTAGAGCATTCAGTGGCACTTTAAGATTGAGATATTTTCAAAGTTGTCACTTCTGGCATGCAAAATATATTTAAGGCAGTGGCGTCTATGTATGCTTTTAGGTATTAAGAAAAATGCATTTAGGGTTTCATATGTTATTGAATTAAATCTGTGTTACCTTGTCACCACCAAAAACACTTTAATTTTCTTGTTAAATGTTGTGTGCCCTACAGTATTTGTTCCCAGTTGTGTGTTAAGACTTTCTGGCATATAATAATGGCACTCAACCACCCGCTAATTATGTTCTTCTAATGCCAACCCCTGCCTTTATTTAATAATTACCAGCTTCACAAATAACTGTTTTGTCATACAAAGTGTACAAAAGACTAACTTAACATAGGACTTAGCAGCAAATTAAACTATACTGAATGAAATTTAAGGAATACAGAGTATCTACATTTGTCCTTGTTGGCACCAAAGGCATAGCACATGAGGAAGCATACTCTCCTTCAACTAGTTTAGAAAATCAAGGTGGCACTAACCATCATTTGTTACAGAGATATCACTAGCTGATGTATTTTTGAGACAGGTAAGACAGAGAATTAAGACATTCTATGAAGGCCAAGCTAAATAAAACATGGTGAAGGTAAATTCTGTTTCACGTCAAGCTCAACTCCTGATGCCTTCATGAACACACCCATGTTGTGTTCTTGGCAACAATAAGGAAGTGGTTTGTCACTGCCTTCTCCAGGGTGTCCCCCCCCCCCCCAAATTTCCCAATCTAAGCAACAGACCTGTTATTTTTGGGTGGCAGGTAGTAGCACTGAGTTTAACACTGTCTGGGCTCCAAAGTTGAATGGGTTCAGGCCTGGTTAGTACTTGGTGTCTTTATATTTTTACTCCCATCTAAGTACTAGGCCAGGCTGAATCCTCTGTAGTTTTTCAAGATCAGCCAACGTTGGCTACTGTTTCTGAATTGTGCTGCTTATTTTATCTTGTTGACTAACGTTCTAATCAACTGCAACTTCTGTGTGAGCTGTCAAAAATGTTTTTCACTGCAGAAGCATAGAAATATGTTTAACAAATAAATAAATAATAAAACAAACATCTGTAATTGGGATGTTATGTGGAAAGTCTTATTAGGAATTTGTCTTCTATAACTGAATTCTTAGTGGTAAATTGTGATTAACAAAACAATCATATGGACAAGAAGATAAATACATTTTTAATTTTATTGCAATTTTAAAAAAAATACAGAAAAACAATATACGAACAAATTAAAAGAAAAACACCAAAAAGTAAAAAAGTAAAATAAACTAATTAAAGAAAAAACCCTAAAAAATGAACATGCTATATTGATATAAATCACCTACATATATCACATATTCATTTAGTCATTTAATAACAAAGTATCATATTGTGCATTTAAATTTATCTGGATCAAGAAAAATAAATAGATCTTTGATAAATTCACCACATAGCATAAATGAAAATATCCAAGTTCCCAATTAGTCCAAGAGTTAAAGAAGAGCCTGCAGAATAAGTCCCTTGGTTGCTGAAAAGAGTGGAACTCTTTTTGTGGAATAGCTTGTTCTGGCTAACATCTCCTGCTACATCTTTCTTTTTCTACAACATTTATTTTTATTCTCCTCCCATTCATGATTTTCACCATATAAGGTCAAGGCCTATAATTTCCAGGAAGGCTCAACCCCTGTCACCTCCCAAGATACACAATGTGATATAGTGGTGAAGATGCTGGTTCATGTCTAACCTCAGACATGGAAACTCACTGGGTGACTTTGGGCCAGTCACTCTCTCCCAGCCCATCCTCCTTCACAGGGTTGTTGTAGGGGAAAATGGGAAGAGGGAGTGATGTCCCTAAAAGTGGTGTTTTTTTTAATAAAATGAATATATAAGACACCTGAAAATGTGGGTTTCCTTCCTTCAGAAGGAAAGATCATTCTGTGCCAGCAAGAACAATCTCTCCTTTCTCTCTCTCTCCACCCTTATTTCTTTCTTGGCCATGGCTTACCTCTCCTTGCCAGATGGGATTGACAGTGTTACACATAATCTTGGACCTTTTCTCCTGTCCATGGTGAGGAAGAGCTGGGAAGATGCTATGCTTTCCAGGTTGGATTGAAATTTTAAGGTAAGGGTCTGGATTGAAGAACATGCCTTTTTTCAAACCAAAAGCTTGGAAATCTGCAAAATGTTAAACGTCCGTATTAGCATTATATTCTATATTCTGTTCAACTATTAGTCACATTTACCATTTAAGCATTTAATGTTGTATTAAATTAAATAAATATAGGTAGTCCTTCTTTAGTGACCACAATTGGGACCAGCAACTTGGTCATTAAGTGAAGTAGTTGCTAAGTGAAACCATGACTGTGCTTATGAACTTACTTCAGCTCTCCTTTGCTTTACAGACCTGAGAAAGTTGTAAATATGAGGATTGGTCGTAAAGTTACTTTTCATCACCATCATAACTGCAAATAGTCATTAAACAAGGACTACCTGTACTCTCTATCATAATGATAACCAAGACAAGATTCAAAACCAGTGAATTAAGTTTCAATTATTGCTTTGAGATGTAATTGGATGCACATTAAAAATCATGCTAGTATTCACAATTTGTTCAATCGGGGCAAAAGACCTGATGAAAATAGGTGGGGGCAAAGACGTCTAAAAAGCTGTAATAATGAAAAAAAATTCCCAGCCAATGATGAAATCATGTAAGAAACTGGAAGGAGATTTAGGTTCAGTGATACAAATCTAGAACAAAAAGCCATCGTTTATATGTTGAGAAACTGAATCCTGAAAAATCCAAGAAAAAGTCTTCCATGGTTTCTCAAAGAGCTTTTAGAAGAAGGAAGACAAGAGTGAAAAGTGCAGCCACCTTCCACCATCCTGAGGCTCTGGATTGGCCAAACCTGGAAAATAATTGCTTCGATAGGTTATGTGAATCTTTCCACTTCTCTAGTCCACACAATGAGCAACCAGAACTTTCCAGATAATAGCTTATTCCCATTCTAGAATTCAGCATACACACCAAGGTATTTCTAAGAAAGTTTCTGTATTCCACTGCCAGAGCTACAAAAGCCTTATCCACTAGGAATATTTTCATCGCATTAAACTTCTCCTGAAAATACATTCATTATGGCTATTAGGAGAATGTGAACTGGCCACATTGGACATGCATGATGAAAACCAAATCCTGACAACTGAAGTTGCCAGATACTCTTGCAATAGACTCATTTTAATTTTTCGCACATTGCTAACAGAGATAACTGCTTTTTAATTGTTTTCAGAAAGAATAAAAGGAAACATAATAATAAATAATTATAATTATGTGGGTTTTAAACAGTGTGGCATAGTGGAAAAATGCTGGGAAGAGTGAAGATATATAGCTTTAGATCTTTAAAGTAATTTTCATAACCTGCATTCCAGGAAGATGCTGCAATTCCTTAATAAAAAGGCCAGGAAAGGCATTCTAGCTTCCCTGAGACAACTTATCCATCACCATCAGTTTTTCTCTACAAAAGCTCAGCCAGAAAATGAGACCTCACCAGACAGACCAAAACCTTAGGGAAAGAGAGGATGTGTTTCTTGGCAGACAAAATCTGATGGGATAGAAAGCGGGAAAATCACTGTCTTAGCCCAACCTACCAAAGAGATTTGTGGTGGAGCAAAAAAGGGAGGATCTATATACATCATCCTGAATATCTTGGATGCAATACAAATATATTAAATAAAAAGCCCTATTTTAGAGGTTACAGAAAAGCTAAGTGGACAGATTTTAGACAAGATGAGGCTTTCCGTGAGCCATAAATATATTCTCTTTGTGATTTCCATACTACTAACTGAAAGCTTTAATAATAATTACTTTCTACTCTTCCAAATCTTTTAAAACAACTATTGTGTGGTTCCTGGTCACAGTTAAAGGGAGTATTTTTTTTCATTAATTTAAATCTTCCATAGTGCTTTACCTACTAAAGTGTCAAAAAATGGGATACATTTTACCATATTTGCTCATTTTTAATGATGGACAAAAATGATGACTATAAGCACATTTCTTTATGATTTTGTTTGAGTTTCCAAGGCAGCAATAAAGGAAGATTAGAGCAAGGAGACACAATAAGAAGATTGGTGCAATCAAGAATAAAATAAAATACCTAAAGTATGGTTCAGGGCTGTTGACTGACAAGAACAGATACTATGCTGAAAAAAAAGTCAGCAGCAACACGATCTTCCTGGAAATTCTAGTATGCACTAACTATGCCTCTTCCTCTCTCCTTAGAAGATCATGACTTATTAACAAACCTGAAAAGATGCCCATACTCACATAGTTGCCATGGAAAACTGAACAATGTTTACCTTATTAATCTTAATGAGAAATAACAGCTGTAATGAATAGCTATTGGGATCTGAAAGCTATACAATCAAAATGCTGGGGATTTTTGAAATCAGTTATTTCTTTTCATCTTCAAAGTTATGTTGAAATCCAGGGCAAATGTACCAGCATTTTTAGATGTTAGAGGAAAACATACCTGAAAGCGAGAAACTGATCAGCCTTCTGCTTCCATGCCCCTGGACTGAATCTTCACTGGTGATATTTTTAAAAATCTGTGACAAAGAGGAAAATATCAAAAACGTCGATACTTTTTTCTAGAGTAATACTATGTAACAACTTATTCCAACAGCCACAATCAAGCAGAAATCAATGATAAGCATTCATTAGGCAACTACTGATCCAAACACTTCTGATAAATCCATGGTTTCAACGTAAAGAGGATATACAGTCCACAGGGGAGCTTCCTCCCATAGATGTTTGGAAGACAAAGTAAAAAATTACTATAATCTTACCACTGTGTTTTTCTAAGTTTGGAGAAGGAACCTCCTCTTATCTTTACAGTTTGCAAATACTTATCACAGAAAGATAAACGGTTGCCAAAAAAAGATGGGTTTTTTTGTATTAGTTACTCGGTTTGGGAATACTAATACTGCTTATGGAAATGAAATATAAGTACTTGTGTCTCAAACAAAATACTGACATAGTTCATTTATTTCACAGCAAAGGCTGAAATGAGGGGTACTGCATCCAATTTCATATTCTGAGTAATTTTCTTATTACTTGTGCATAGAGTACTAGAGGCACACAGTTCTAGCCGTCCAGCTTCTGATGATCTGATCAGGAAGGTTGTAAGTAATTCCAGCAAAAAACCACCTCCAGCCTGACATGTCATCAATTGAATCAGCGACTTTAATTATCAAAAAAAAAAAAAGAACACCCTTCCAGTTGTCAAACTAGCAATCCTGCTGCACAGAAGGATTACATTAGGCTAGCATGCCAGATTTCATTGGGATTTGCTTTGCTTGACTCAATTTGTATAACATTTTGCTGTTATTTGCTCTCAACAGAGCTGTTTGTACAGGTGTTTTCTTGTGTCTTTTTTTCCCCCTAAACTATCCAATAAAATCTAAATCAAGGCCAGCAAAATCAGCATTGAAAAAAAATAACAACAGCCGGGTGTTTCTGTATGGGGTTTCTTCAATGCTGAATAATTTATAAAATCAGAAGGCGTCAGATAGCACCTTTTCAGACTAACACATTTTATAAAAAGGCATAAGCTGCAGCTCACAAAAGTTTATGCCTTTTAATAATAAGTATTAGTTGGAAAAGGCGCCATCAGACCCCTTCTGATTTTTTGCCGCCACAGACTAACAATGCTGTCCTCCTACAATGTTTATAAAATCCCATTACCTATTTTTGTCCAATGCTTGATGCTCTCCAAGTGCATCATTTACAATTATGTCCATTTTAAGTTGGTACCAAGTTGCACTATATTCTACTGCATCCAAGTATTTTTCTCATATTCTTTACAGGGCTAATGATGATGGTAGCTAGTATGGGTTTCGTGTCAACCACATTTTTTGTCATGACTGGAGAACGTCAGCAGGTGGCAGCACACTGCCAACTAAGACACCAAGCAGGATCAACCTGGGTTTTATTTTAGGGGGGGATTCCACTAAAGTCCACCTGGGAATTCCAGGCCTGTCAGCTCAACTGGGAAATTGGGAGGGGAAAAAAACATGGAAAAAGGCAGTGGTGAAGACTTCCATAATGCTACTAAGAAAACTGCATGAACATCACCAGGAACTGAGCTCAGAACAAAGAGATTTTTATCTTTAGCCTAAAGTACTAAATAATCAAAGCGCAAATGATTCATCTACATTTTAAGTCAAAGAAAAAGAGCTTTGGCTGGTATTTTAAAAGATAAAAAATAAGGAGATCTTTTTCCCCAGAGCAATTCTGCATTAATAGACTGACAGAGATATTGTTCAATGTTGGGAACAGGGAAGACAAAACACCTTTTTAAAAAAAATTATTTGAAGTCAAAGTAAGATTTTGAAATTAATAATACCCAGAATTATATTTCAATAATGTTATGTCTTTATTAATACATATATTATGAGCTGTGGTTTATTAATACATATATTACAAATTGTGGTAAAGATTTGTTTACATTTATTCCTTATAGTTATATTATTTCTGCATCTATTATCTCTATTTCCTCACAACTAAAGTTTTGTTTCACTAGAGCATCTGACTGTTGTGTGTTCTAAGAATGTGAAACTGGCAATCCTGAAAAAAAATTAACCATTAATTCTCAAACTATCTGCTGGAACTTGCTAGCAGGCTGTAAGAAACACTGATACACCTTCAAGTTTCATTTATGAGATTAAAGCATAGATCCACTCTGTAGCAGTCTCACCATCAGTTATAAATACTGTATGTATTGGACTTCTAGATACAACTTGTGTTATGGCTGATGTTTAGAGCAGTGAAATCTTAGCAACATGATTCTTGCCTCATAAATACAGCCCCATTCAGACTAAGCACAGGGAAGGGCATAACCCCAAAGGAAAATAATTAGTTGAGCCAAAATAATTAGTTGGGGCGCTTCCTTCCAGAAGGTTCTTAAATGTTACAATCATTGTCTTTTGCTATAAACTACAAAAGGAATTGCCAGCGACTCTTCTCATTTCAGGGTAGTACAGTGTTTATTAATATCTATACTATGTTCACTTCATGCAGTGTGCAGGATATACCTGAAACATTTAACCACCTATCCTCTATTCAGTTTCACAACTGAGAATAGAAAATCTAACCTACTGTGTTCCGTAACCCTTCTAAGTTGGTTTCACAGAATAAATAGAAAATGCACCAGGATCCTTTTTCTTCCAAACAGAAATAACCCAAGAAAGTCCTGTTCTGAATTAGAGCCACTGTTTATGGGGTTAAAATTCCTCAGCCACTTCTGCAAAGGAATTTCCTCTCAAAATAAATGGAGAAAAACCCTCCACATTTCATTTCTCCTCCTAACACTTGAAGAGGGAAGGTTGTTGGCTGAAACTCCGGTTTTAACAAAAAGCTTCAGTACCCCTTTCCCAAATTCAGAGGACAAAAAACTTTTTTTCAAAACTTTTCTTTTAAGAATTAGGAAGAAAAAAGCAAACATGTACTGAGGGTCAATTCACAAAATGTCATCCCTTTTCTTTAGGGTAAGAACTCTTTCAATAGTGTCTCAGTCATAAATCTTCCTTTCCTCATTTCTAAGTAATATCTGATTTTCCCTAACAGACTTTCTTAGAAGAAAACATTATGTAGGAAATTAAAGGGAAGACAAACGAGGGTCACAAAAAGTAGCGGTCTTCTGGCCACTCTATAAAATTCTGTGCCTGAGACGTAAGTTACATAATAAAAGAGTCACTTGAATCAATCTCAGAATGTATGTTTCTGCATGAGTATTAAGTATAAAATACATTCTCCTGTCCCCCCACTCCCTTTAATTTGGAAAAACATGCTTCAGGTTTTCTAAAGTGTGGGAAACATTGATTCAGACTTTTTACCTAAACCCATTCAGAGGACTGAAAATGTATTTTTTCTGAGCATCTCCAAATTCCCTGCAAAGTTAATTGTATTTAATAAAGTACCATCATTTCTCTCAAGAAGAATTTGTTTAACTCAACAAAACATTATGATGCAGTAGGAGACTGAGGGTGTGACAAGGAATGCTGCACATACAAATATTGGTTATTTCTTTAACAAAAAATATTTAGTTGCAAAATCCACTATGATATAATTCTTTTATGTATTGTTGAATAAAGCAAGTCTTGCTATCCACATAAGTGGTTTTCATTGTGTGTGTCAGCTTCATTATAAATCAATTTAAAGGCAGGATTGCAAGCATCTAGTGAACCCTTTGGCAATTCATTGAATAGAACGGTCAGCCCTTACTCTCTACGAGAACACCACAAAGCAACTTGGAGAATCACTGAAGAGTTTTTAAAAATCAGGTGTCCAGGAGCACCTTTTCCAACTAACAAATTTTATTAAAAGGCATTAAGCTGTAGGCCAGAAAAGCTTATGCCTTTAAATAAAATTTGTTAGCCGGAAAAGGTGCTACCAGACTCCTTCTGATTTTTGGCTACATAGACTAATGTGATTCCCCTCTACAATGATTTTTTTTTAGGAGAAATGGGATGGCGCATTTGGGGAAGGGGAAAAAAAAGTTGAAAATTGAACATTCAGGGTAAAGTATCAACCTTCCCACTAGCATTCTCCAGTCCCTCTGGGTTGCTGATTTTTAAGACAGAAAATACCCAAAAATCATGTGATATCCCATTTAACCTAACACCAATCTACTTTAGAAATCTCACAGCATGAACATAATTTGGCATACTTCCCCAAAGGGATAAAACTCTTACACTGTACCCTTTTATTTTTCCCTTGTGCCTCAATTATTTATATATAAGTGATCTGTTCTTCATATGTATATGTGTATGTATGTATGTATGTTTGTATATATATGAAGAACAGATCATTTTATTTTATTTGATATATATGAAGAACAGATCCTCCTTCAGAATCAACTGAAGACATGTGGATTTCAATGACAAAATATATGTCCTTAAGAAAAAAAAAAAGCACAGAAGGCTTAGATTAGGCTGAGTGTTAAATAACCAAAACCCTAACCAATAAGTAATAGAATCCAATGCTTGTTTTGCTTTCTATCATATTTAAACCAGAACTTGCATCTCAGCTTGGGAAAAACTACATAAGCAACATTCCCTGTACCAGGACAAATATTTAACATAAGATGTAAAGATAACAGTTGTAGGAAAATAGTTATACAGTGCCTCAAAAAATAATCCAGGAAGGAGCTCCAGTTATAAAGGGAAAGAAAGATCGGTGATTTTTTCAAAGGAGCAAGAGATATATGGGAAGCTGAGAATGGTGAGAGTGAAAGAGCAGAAGGTAGAGGGACAGTTACAACTGAATATCAAGGTGCAGAACTTTACCATATTAGTATTTAGTTTTGTTTTGTTTTTTGGTGTGCATTTAAATCTAAGTGCAGTACAGACCTATTTTATTTCCACAACCTAACCCTGTAAGGTAGGTTGGGTTAAGGGAGACTGACCCAGAGTTATCCAGGGAGCTTCATGGCTGAGGATGGACTAGAATCTGGATCTCTCTGCTGTCCAATGCTTTAACCTTAAATGTTCAATACCTTAACCACTACAGAATCTGAGCTGGATGAAAAAATGGACCAAGTAGCCAA